AATTGGAACTAAGAATGCACATCAAACTGCCTATAATTGGGACAAATAGCTTGGGTTCCGGCATGGCATACGGAGATTGATATATGACGGTGGCCACCTTGTACTTGTTAGGATCGTACCCAGTCTACCCCTCGCAAGACCCAGATATCGAAGTGGATAATGGGTTATTTTAACTTTGCTTCCATCAGGTTGATTTGTACCTTTGAAAACCTTAATTTCATGTCAACATTTTTCTGTCTCCTATAATAATATCAACAATCCTATCTTATTAAATGTTGCAATCAGATTGGATCAATCGGAAACGCCTAGGTTCATATTTGATTTGTTAATATTCGGATTTGAATTAAATTTTGTTCAGCAAATTCAGTTTATATTGAATATTGAGTACCATCAATAAATGAAACTAAAAAACAAGATCAAAAGTTCATGTATACATGTATAATTAATAAAATGCATTAAGAATGGCTTAGATATTGTATATCATCAATAAAATGACTTGCAAATAACTTATATGGGAATTGAACCTTTGTCCCTCCAGAAACATACAACAGCCAAATTTTATGTTGCCTTAATCAAATCGGATTTGAATTAGAATTAGGGCAAATTTATACCATTTTGCAGCCCCAAAACTATTTTTAGATGCTTCGGTAACTTGCTTGGGGTTTAATCCTTTCTAAACAAATTATAACTACTTTAAAAGGAATAATGAAATTGGTTTATTTAGGACTTCTTCAAGGGTGAATATTAAGTAGCCTCCGTCCTACCATATTTCGCATGATATGTGCAATGTCTCTGTCCATGGAAATTCTTTTATTAATCTGAAGTGCTTAATGTCCAGGCCATATCTTCAAGGTTTCAACATTGCTTAAATGTCATGTGACTTGTGAATTCTTGAAGACAATGAAGTCCCATCTCTATCACATTGGTGTTCATTAACTGCCTTTGTTCTTGAATGTGACAATAGAAAACCACCCCACATTAGATCCTCCATCCTAGGGCAACTGTTATTGTTTATCATGTTTCAGACCAGCTATCCACATGGCAAATCCTGGTTTGGTTGAGTTTTCTACTTGATTTGAGTAACTAAATTAGGATTTATGCATGATTCAACAACATACTTTAGATATAGAATGGGGCCTACACTGTTGTCTGTTGCTAACTTTTTGGGTTAGAGGCTTAAGGGCCATTTGATAGTGGGATGGCTGAAGTGGCTGAGATGAATGGTTTATTGCTCTGTCTCTACATGATTGGAGTTGTTTGTTCAATAACATAAGATTTGAGTGGTTCTGGTCGGTTGATTGGGTGAGGGTAGATGTGGGATGGGCCACACCCATTTAAGCTATACGTATATTACTGTTTAAATAGGCTGATGGGTTAAATGGGTAGGTTGTAGGTTGTAGCAAGTAGCAACCAACACCTAACCTACCCAATTGCCGCCCTCTCTATACATAGTCGGCAGAAAGCCATTTCATTACTTTGACTTGAAGTTACTTGTAGTTATTTGATAGGGAATCTTATGAAGTGTCTTAACTTTACCTTTGAGGCTTTGACTGAGCATAAAATGACAGGGAACCAAAAAAAAAAGGCTGCGAATAAAAAAGAACGTTTTCCAAGAAGCTAGAAGTAGGAAAATGACATCCCTTCAAATTTTCACATGTTGTTCCCAAACAGAAGATTGGTCTTCTAGTCTAAATCCCGTGAGTTATGGCATCCATTGATACATATATTTCTCAACCATTCACAGTCATTTTCCAGATTAAGTTAAACATTAGGTAAATTCCCATATTAAATGTCATTTTCCAAGAAGATTTATTTTCTTTCACTTATGGCGAAACAAGATTTATGTAGCAAGAAAGTATTTAAGCACTAATAATGATAATGTTATTGCCAACTGAGTGATGGTTCCATTGGCACATAATTCCCATATTAAAGTATTTAAGCTCCAGACGAGATGTGGTTTCAAATCCCGCTATTAATTCTCACTACCTTTGTGACGAGTTATTAGTATTGCTAGAAAAAAAAAATACTGTTTTATGCCAAGAAGAATTGAATTACAACCTCTATGGCGGCAAAGGCGATTAATCAATATAAAAAAAAAGATAATGATAGTGTTATTAAATAGAAGGAATTATCAATACCATTTATATTATATAATATAAAGAGTAAAGAGAGGAGATAAGGGACCTCACACGGACTCCTCTCAATTCTTATACAATGCATGTGTGGACTCAAAAGGTAAAAACAAAATATTAAAAATCATAATTACTTCTCCCCATACAATTTAGTGCACCATCCTATTTAATTCCCACAACCCATTATGTTCACTTTAATCCATCCTATTTAATCACCTAAATTCAAATTTAAGTTTGACAAAAAAATAACTAAGTTCTCTATACGTTAAACCATATTCCCACAACCCATTAGTTAATCCATCTTATTTAATCACCAAAATTCAAATTTAAATTTGACAAAGAGTAGTCTAAATTATTCTCTATACGTTACACCATATTCACCTAATTAATCACTTAATTAATTACCATTAGTTTCACTTAGTTCCACTTTAATCCATCTTATTTAATCACCTAAATTCAAATTTAAATTTGACAAACAAAAACCAATTCCCACCACCTAAATTTGGAAGTCTTTAGTCTTTTATGTCTCACTCTCTTCCTTTGCCCCCCCTTTCTCTCCCTCTCTCTAGGGTGTAAATGGATCAGATCCGCTCCGAAGTCCAATTGTATATTCTTGGATTTGGATGGCCCCACTTTGGATTTACATATCAAATTAGATTATAGGATCTTATCAAAAGCATATTGAATTTGAATCACCCCTATCCGATTTGAGAAGATCCAATCCGATATATATGTTATTTATTTATTTATAAATATATTATTTATATTACATTTTTATAAATTTGTTATATTATTTATTTTTTTTATAAAAACATGTATATATGATCAAAATAGTTGAAAAGATACTTGTATTTTTTTGTTTTTTCTTTATTTAACTTGTTATATTTATTTTTCTTTTAATAATTTATTTATTTAAAAAAAATCAAATCGGACCAGCTTAGATTTGAAGATCCGACTAACTCATCAGATTCAAATTCAAATCCATGTTTATGAGAACCAACCCAATCTGCAATTAATAGTGTCAGATTGGATTTAGATATACCATACCTCTCTCTTCTTTTTTAGCCTTTTGAATATTATAGTTTTTTTATCTACTATTCTTTCTATCAGGACCAATGCTTACTCTTTTTTTTTATTTCAGTGAAAATGGTGACTACTCTCTTCTTAGCTTAAAGTAATTAGTGCTACACGGAACTTGCTAGAGATTACCATATATCAACCATCACAATAAGTTTTGTATCTTTTTTTTTCTTCATGGAGTCATTAGCTACCCTTTATTGTTTCAAAGTGATCTTATAAAGTTGGTTACTTTCCCCCTTTTCCTTTTAGTTTTTCCTTTATTCTTTCCTTATTGTTAAAAATTAGGACAAGCTATTTAATTCCAAAAGAACGTATTTTAATATAATAGAAACTTGTCTCATAACATAGCTTTCTCTTTCTACCTATTAATTTTCTTTTTTTTGTAGGAATCTATTTTCCTTTTATCACCCAATTTGTAATTGGAGGTTAATGTGTATGTGTTGATCTTTTAAGAGGCGGCCAATGCACCAATTTCTTCGTTGTGGTCTGATCCAATTTGCTACAAGGAGGTCACACTGATCAATGCACCGGTATGGTGTTTTTAGTTTTTGTGATAATATGTTCATTTAATGATAATTTCTTTGATATCCCTAATTTAATTTATTTTATGGGGATGTTTTTATAGGTGGTGGGCCTAAATACATTTGGAAAACCAATAAAACAATTTTCAAAAGGGACTGAGCTCTAAAAAAAACATTTATTTAAATATTTAATTTATTAATTTAAATATAATAAGTTTGATTTGATTTCATTTATTATCATTTTTTCTCTTTCTCATCTTCTGTGCGATCTCGCTAGTATGGTTGGGATAAGGCTTGGATGATGATGAATGATCATTATGTGCGACCAAGCACAGCAGCCTTTATATATATGACCAAAAGAAGAATTAGAATGTAATCCTTGTATGTTTGGAAAGGCCAGCTAGCTTGCTGGTAAGGTCTTGTCTTGAAACACTAGCACAGGATGGTGATTGAGACGACCAAGTGGCAAATCAGACTAGTGGCCTCAAATATCCCCACCTCAAAATTTTCAGATCTTACTTAGTCTAAGATGGTCAATGGGTGGTTGTAAACTTGTAATCTGCTATGTGGCCATAAACTTTGGCCACTTCAGACCACAGGTGTCACTGGCCCTTGGGATTATGGGGGTGCACATGGGCTGGGCCTGGGCGAGGTCTTGGTAAGCTTCCCCAATTCTAACCCTAAAAAAACATATGGCCTAACCCAGTTATGATCCTAAAATAACCTACAAAGCTTCGGACCCTAGGCTAGGCTAGCTGGCCTTTGTAATAATTTCAGAACTAGCTAATGACCCTGTCCTCAGGCCAACTATATGTTTCTTTTATTTGAAATTTACTTATACTATATAGGTAGCAAGACAAACATGCTTTACATCTAAACAGAATCTACAATTGTAAGTGTATTTTAATCGGAACCCACTATCTACAAGACTACAATTACATGGTTTGTGATTCATTGAAATTTGAAAGACTGCAGCTACCTTTCAAAAACCACTTTGAATGAAGAAATAGAACATTCTTATATCTACATAGGACCAAATTCCAAAACCACTCCATATGGCACCAACATTACTTGGTCCTTTTTTTTTTGGAGAGGAAGACCAAGCTAGCGTTTGAAAGAACCAGTGTCTGAGGGGTTTGCTTTAGATGATAATCTTTCATTTGCTGTTTTATCTTAATTTTCATGATCAATATTAAGAATATATTTTTATATAAATAATATGAATAAACAATACATCCAGGTATAAGAACATAAACAACACAAAAAGAAATTCATAACAGAAGCATACTCAGATTACTATGATGAAGGGGAAAAAGAGCCCATATGTACGTATTTACAGAGAGAGACCAAGCAACCCATTCGCCACATCTATACATTTACCCCCAATTTCTTGGATTTAACCCTGATCACCGGGAAGGCAAGCTCGACAACATCTTCGTGGAGCAGTTAAATTGAAAACACAGCTTGAGCAGATGAAATGTGTTGAGATACTCATAATATCACATGAGCAAGTCATCCAGAAAAGGGGCACTGAAGGGTAGCTTTATAACCCCAGAGGCAACTAAGAGCAATAACACCCACACTGGTAGGACCCCTAGACATACCACCAGCAAAATTCTTTGCCCTGCATAATAGCAAGTTGGCAACAATTGATGTCAGGCTCGGTAAAATGAACTAAATTGTCCAATTAGCACAATGAAGGTGCCAAATGTGATATCCCACAAATAAGAAAGGAAAGATCCACTGTAATGTCCAGCTCCTTCTGTCTCAGAGTTGTTCTGAAGAATCATGACTGTGCTACTGACTTGACATGAAAATTAAACTAACTTGGAGGAAAGGCACACACAAAATGTGAACAGAGTACAAAACATAACCACTAGCTGTCAGTAGTGATGATAGGAGTCTGGACTCTGGGTCAGCTACCCACAAGATGCTACAGCCACACGTCTTACGTACACCCCCATCAATGATGGCATACAGGCTTGAAATGTGCGGTTGTAGCTTCTTATGGGTAGGTGTGGGTCCTTGTGGGTAGAAGATCTGGTCCTTAGTGTTAGTACTCCCTTTAAGGAGGAGTCAGGAAAAAGTGTTAAATTGGAAGGGAGAAAAAGGTTCTACCAATTCATGTACTGTTCATAGTTATCAAGGTGAAAGTGACAGACTGACAAAGGAAAAAATCCCTCCCTGAAAACCTTCATCACTCAAAAATAATGATTTAGGGGGGGAATAAAGAGCAGAGAATAAATTTTGCCATTAGGATGGCATAGCAGCATCCATCCACCTTATGGCAAAACTATTGCAGCTTTAGTTTTCATCCATTTGTTATTTGTTCAATGCACGATGGGTGGAAATTTTTTAAGGCTGAAATATTTCATATTTGAGCTATATTTCCACCCCTTTTACTATGAAAACTTTGTTTTATTGCCATTAACATCAAAACAGATTATAAGAGGTAGAGAATAATGTTAGGCATAAGAAATAATAGCTAAAATATTTTTCTCTAATATATTTGATGGAGAAGTAAATGCAGCCTTAACTCTCTTATATGGTTCCTCTCTGCATCCTGGAATTCAAATGATCCTAAAAATCATAAAGTATCCATTTTTTGTAACTGATAACCAAATATTCTTACACTCAAGGATTGGGGTATTCTCCTCTCTTTAGATAAAAAACGAGCCTGTGACCCCACTTCAACATTTTGCAGTGTAAATTCAGCCAAGGGCCTATATCAAGGATTTAAATAAAGAAAAGAGAGAGAGAGAGAGAGAGAGAGAGAGAGAAAGATAAGGAGCTTCTCAACTTACTTGTCATCATCCTTTTCCACTCAAAAGTCAATCAATAATAAGTTCGCACATGGCTATCCATCTTTCAGGTATTCAACTAAACAGTGAATTACTTCATATGAAGTTGATTTACTGGCTTGTAATCTCAAAGCAAGGTTCTAAATCCGCATACATGATCCACACCAGATCACCATCACCTTATCTACAGAACAGTGATCTGTCAACCCATCCTCCAAATAAAGGGTAAAGAATAAAAATCCAATAAACAAGGAGATTACCTTTGTCTATCTAGAGAAAAAGAGAAAGGGTGGGTTAAAAGGGGAGGTGGAAGGACATCTTTGCATCAGTGTCCACGAAGTTGGAATGACCATGTTGAATCTTATAAATTTAACATGCAGGGGCTGAGCAAGGGGTTGGAAACACCCTATTTATGCATTGGTGAGTTGTAGGAGATGTCATCAATCCTAATACAGTGGACCCCCATGATTTTAAGATGTACTAAGTGACCCCTCCAAATGAATGATCCCGACTCTTTCCATGCTGATATGCATACTCTATTAAGTTGACCCATATGAAGAAAAATACATGTGGAGGAGAAGGTATACATATTGACCATAAACATATAACAAGTAGCCTACCAGACAAAAATTCAAGATAACAAATTGATGTAAAATAAGCCTGCAGATAAAGACTAGATTATCAGTCTTATAACTGAAAATAGCTTCATCCATTAGAAGGAATAAGAAAATATAGACTATATAAAATTCTAGATGCAACAATAAACAAAATCCATGTCTTATCCCACTAAATCCACTTCACTCACCTGACTCCAAATGTGCTAACATGATATGACATGAGAAGACTAGGGAAAAGAGATTTAGTACAGATCTACCCATTATAAGTCATTATTTTGCCAGCCCACCCTTCTCTGTGTGCCATGTTACAAATTTATTACAGATCACCAACTCATCAACTCCTACAATTTACATCTCCAATTCAGTTGCAGACAGGCCTAGAACTTAACAGACATCATGTTGCTATGGTAATATGTTTCACAGTGAAGCATCATACTAAGTGTAAGATCCTTTTCCTTTTTATTTTTGGATTGGTAGACAAAGTATAAGATCAAGTTGTAATTCCTGGGTTTGGCAGTGTGAGCATGCATGTATATGCATTAAGTGTGATATGTCTAAATGATTCTACTTGTATACTTGTATCAGGACAAAATTATCACTGAATTATAGATTTGCTACATGAAGATTTCATATTGAAAATGTAGAAACTCATATTCAATTGGAAAATTTAACTCAAATTGTGCAATTAGGACGAAATGGAAGAATTTACAATTGTCACACCGAAAATTTTGTGGAGAGTCAGAATATGAGACATGTATATGCGATTATGTCTCCCATCACAACATATGCAACAGGAACTCAAAGTAAGAACAGGCAATAAAACAGCCAATAAATTATATCATCACAGAAGTGAGTGACTAGTATATATATATTCTAAAATTAGATGCTTGAGTAGTAGGGGAAATTGGATGCATTTGTATAGAGGATTCAAGTCCAAAAGTGACTGCAACCAATGACTTTGTTCCCTGTGAATAGCTAACATAATAAAAAACTGCATATGAAAAGAAAAGAAAAGAAAATTAAGAAGAAAAAAAGAGAACTTACTCTCAATCAATGATAAATTCTAATCAAGGTCATCTTGTTTTAAACCATGATGTTCAGATATGGATACGGACATGAGACAAACACAGATATGGGGAACAGGGATACAACTCTCCATTTCCTAAAATGCCAGACATGAATACAAGTAAGGGTATCCCACTTATATGCTTAGAGCATGTGTCAATATTAGGATTTTGAAGCTGATTGCAATTTCTTAAGACTTATGTCTTGTCAAATTTAATTAAGCTTCTAATATGTTTAGTTTTTTATAGTATAACTTGTTAAACATACCATTTTGCATATTTTACAAGGAGTTAAAGTGGCGGCAAAGAACCAAAGTTAAATGGCTTAAAGCGGGAGATAAAAACTCCAGTTTCTTTCACGAAATGGCAAAAGAAAGGAAAATAGTAAATCAAATTGAGAAACTTGAATGGGGAGAGCAAGTGGGTGAAGACTGGACATAAATGAAACACATTGCCACTGGTTTTTTCTCAGAGTTGTTCAAAGAAAATTGGGCAAGGAGGCCTTTTCCAGAAGAGCTTAACTTCAAAAGTCTTTCGGTGGATCAGCAGAGGGAGTTAGAAGCGCCTTCACAGAAAATGAGATATGGCAGGTAATTAAAAATCTGGGAACTGAAAAATCCCCAGGGCCAGATGGTTTGACTAACACCTTTTATAAACGGTGCTGGGAGGGGGTGAAAGGGGATCTGTTGAAGGTGTTACATGACTTTCACCAAAATGGGTCCTTGGTTAGAAGTTTGAACAGCACTTTCATCTCCCTTATTCCTAAGGTGGAAGGTGCAACAAACATTAAAGACTTCAAGCCAATTAGTCTGCTAAACAGCTTTTATAAAATTCTATCCAAAGTTCTTGCAGAAAGAACGAAGAAGGTCCTTAGTGTGATCATTGAGGAGAATCAGTTTGCTTTCAAATGAGTTGAATGACTCAAGAATAAGAGAAGGTAAACCAGGGTTGCTATGTAAGCTGGATTTGGAAAAGGCATATGATCATGTAAACTGGAAGTGTTTGGACTTAGTGCTAAAGAAAATGAACTTCGGGCAGAAGTGGAGAAATTGGATTAAGGTATGTATTTCCTCTCCAAAGTTCTCAGTTTTGTTTAATGGGCAATCCATGGGATTCTTCAAAAGTTCTAGAGGATTAAGACAAGGGGATCCCCTCTTCCCTCTTCTGTTTATATGCGTAATGGAAGTTTTAACTCTATTTGTGCAGAAGGTGGGGGATGAGGGTCTATGGAAGGGTTTTGAGGTCTCTCCGGGTGGGGAAAGTGTTCAAATCCTACAGTTTGCCGATGATACTCTGTATTTCATTGATGCGGATGTTGATGAACTAAAGATTCTCTTAGGGGTGCTTAGTTGGTTTGAAGTGGTTTTGGGTTTGAGAGTAAATTGAACCAAAAGTAGACTGATTCCGGTGGGCGAAGTGGAGAATCTAGAAGAGCTCACGGAGATCTTACCTGGTCAAATTGGATATTTGCCTATTTCCTATCTTGGCCTCCCTCTTGGAGCTAAATGTACTTCTGTAGTGGTGTGGGATCCGGTGGTTGAGAGAGTGGAGAGGAAGCTTATGTCTTGGAAATCCAAATATCTGTTTCTGGGGGGCAAAATCACATTACTAAAAAGCTCACTCTCTAATCTTCCGGCCTACTTTTTATCTTTATTCCCAATTCCAATCAAAGTAGCCCAAAGAATTGAGAAAATTCAGAGAGACTTCCTTTAGAGGGGTGGGAGGAGGAAAAGAAACTTCATCTGGTTAACTGGGATCAGGTATGTGGCCCTAAGGAGAAAGGGGGGTTGGGGATCAGGAAGCTAAAGTTGTTTAATAAAGCTCTTTTGGGAAAATGGATCTGGAGATTTGAGAAAGAAAAAGACAGATGGTGGAGGAAATTAATTACAGCGAAATATGATACTGACAGTGGGGACTGGGTAACCACTAATCAATTGAATTCTTTAGGTTGCTCCATGTGGAAAAAAGTCATGGAAGTTCTCCCTTGGATGAGTAGTGGATTAATTCCAAAGGTGGGGAATGGGAATAGGTTGCAGTTCTAGAAGGATACTTGGTGTGATAGTAGACCTCTGGCTGAAGTCTTCCCTCAGCTGTTTCAGATTGCAGAAAATCAGAATGGATTGATGGCTAGTCAGTTTGAAGTGAGTGGGGGTACTATTATTTGGAGCCCTTCCTTTAGAAGGTCATTCCAGGACTGGGAAATTGGGATAGTTGCTGATCTCTTGGGGTTGCTTTACAGGCAGTCCATTGACTTGTCTTCTGAGAACTCTTGGAACTGGAAGTTTAGTGTGGACAGCAGTTTCTCGGTTAGCTCTTTTGCGGGGGTTCTAAATGAAGCTGTGCATCCAAACATTCCAGCTGAGAAGATTTGAAACCCTTCTGTGCCTTCAAAAGTAAATGCTTTGGTTTGGGCTGCGGCTCTGAATAGATGCCTTACGAAAGACTCCCTGGTTAGAAGGGGTGTACAGATTCAGGACCTGCTGTTTGTTCTGTGTGGAGATGTGGATGAAGATGGCATGCACCTGTTCATTCACTGTCGGTTACAGCTGCAAATATGGAACCACTTCTTATCGGGGTTAGGGCTGCAATGGTGTATGCCTTATCCAGTGCTGGACATGATATGGAGTTGGGAGCGTCCTGCCTGCAGCCATCTTATGCACAGTCTGGACGGAAAGAAACAGAAGGATCTTTCAAAATAAGGCCTCCAGTATAGATTGCTTGATTGCCTTTGCTTTTGGCAAGCCAGTTTCCTGGGTGGCTGCGGAAAAGGGCCTTCAAGCTTCAGTCCTATGTTCTCAGATGAGATCTAGGAATTTTCTTGAGTTATGATGTATTGTAGATGTTAAAGTGAGTTTTGGCTCCTTGTCTTAGGGGCCTTGGTTGTAATTTGCCATTTCAGACTCATTTGAATAAAATTTTACCTTATCTTTTATAAAAAAAAAGTGTTATTTCTATAGCGTACATCTAAAAGTATTCCATGCAATATCCAGTATCATATCTGACACCAGCATGCTAGACATTTCTAGTTATCTGTGCTTCAAAAGGTCAAAATGTTCCAACTAAATCAAGAAACTAAGAATATAAATAACTAGGTTGTAGGTTCGGTATAAAATTGAAGACGAAGGAACCAGAAGAACTAGAGCAGACCGAAAAGGATATGGGTTGAAGCAGTGAGAGATGATTTAAGGGTCCATAATTTAACAATGGATGTCACTGAACAGAATGGAATGGTGGAACATGATTCATATAGCCAACCTCATATAGTTGGGAAAAATTTAGAAGATGATGACGATGATGATACTGTGCTTCAACAGCATAGTAGCAGCAAGAAAGAAACAGCAGCACAAAATTTATGCTGACCACCAAAATGGATAAAAACAGTAATAATTTCTATAATTAGATAGTTTCACTCTGGATTCAGCAACTGGAAGGTAAAAAAGATGATAGTAGGAAAAAAGATTCAAAATAAAGATGATAAAAGTGGGCTGAAAAAGTTGATTCACAGGCAGATCAAGGATCCAAGGTGAATGAAATGGAAAATCAGATCTTTTTTTCGTTCATAGTGAAAAAATGCATCTTTTAAGAAACTATGGAAAATAAGAATTCCACATAATAATGTAAGATATTCATGTTTCTAAAAGTTCTAACCTGTCTGGTACAGTCTTTCAGATCAGCTTCTTTTGACTTTTGGCAGGGGAAAAATATTCTCCCATTCCAACCAGTAGCTTAACTGCCTACTAAACTGTTCTTGCTCCCAGACTGGTCATGGCCAGTTGGGAGACACAGGTGAATCCAATTAAAATGGCTCTTGATGAGTTTGGATCTTCTGGATCTTCTGACCACAACACATTGCTGACCACGTGCATCCTGCCGCACATCAGGAACATTGGTTGTACTTTAAAACACCGATATTCCCGATGTATAGTTGGATGCGTGTGGCCAGCAATGTATCGTGATCAGTTGGGAGACACAGGTGAATCCAATTAAAATGGCTCTTGACGAGTTTGGATCTTCTGACCACAACACATTGCTGACCACGTGCATCCTGCCGCACATCAGGAACATTGGTTGTACTTTAAAACACCGATATTCCCGATGTATAGTTGGATGCGTGTGGCCAGCAATGTGTCGTGGTCAGCAGATCCAGACTCGCTCGAGCATAATAGCATGTAAGTATTCATGTAGTCAACCCGAATAATGGGAATTAGGGCGGATTTCAGTTGAAATCAGATTTGCTCCTCACAGCACATTGCAGCCCTGCATTGGAAACATCTTCCCATGAATGACGAGATCAAGTACGGGAGATGTTCTCAATGCACTGCTCAAAGCACTGTGCGGCTGCTGTGAGGCACACTCTGTGAGGAGCAAATCTGGATTCATTTCAGTTGAAGTGAAGCCAGCTAAATACATATTGCGTAGTCTCTTCTCAGGGTCCCAAAGTTGCTCACTGTGGGAGAATAAGGAGATCATAGAAGGAAATTTGGAAATATATTTAACCTACAAGATTTTTTCCCTATATTTTCTGTCTTTATTTTTTTAGAAATGTCAAGCTAGAGATATGTTTGTAATTTGCAAGTTTCTTGATTAAGAATCTAAGTAGCTCCCGTTTGTGCCCTTGATTGGAGCTCTTTGCTTCACTGAGGAAACAAATCTCTGTGCTCTATTTGGCTAGTGATTTTCTATAAACTGAAAATTAAAGCTTCCCTTCTAGGATTATGGGCCTCTCAAGATAATCTCTGAAAATTCTGTATGGTAATGGGTATATAGGAAGGTATCTTTCATTTTTTATCTGGGGATCTTTTTCTCAAGGAGAACTTGAAGTAATTATCTTGCTCTCATAAGGAACTATTAGACCGTTCTCAACATAAAGCTAAGATAAGGTTTATGATGCTTTGACTTTGATGGTTGTTTATGTATGAATCCAACAGAGGTGGCCTTACCAACTCTAATTGTTCAAACCTGTATGAACATTTTGAAGAAAGAATTGTTTTGAATGCAGAGGAAGATTAAACAGACCAGAAGTAAGACACAGAGAGAATGGAGAGAAATACCGGCAGAACGAGAGGCGCCTTCTGTTGTGTCGATGACCCACTCGCCAGTTTCACGAAGCTTCCTCTCGATGGATCCTTCAGGTTGGCCGAGAGGGCTCGACACTAGCATATCGAACAGAGTCGATCTCTCCCCTGAGCCCCTATATAAACCATTAAGTAAGAAATAGTGTAAGACACTTTTAAGGATAACGACGGTGTCTCTATAATTCGAAAAACGAGGAAACAATAAGAAAATGGCATGCATGCCTGGGGTCTCTGTCTCGGAAAATTCCGGCTCCGATGGCCCTTTCGACCTCTGCCACCGATGGCTGTTGCTGCTGCTTTGGTGGTGGTGTTACAGGCGCATTTCTCGTCCTTCTACGATTGTTACGAAGAGGAGGAAGAGGAGGAGGAGTGGCGTTGTCATGCAGAGATGCAGTAAGGAAACCTCTGGTGGTAACTCCGGTGGCAATAACTGAGAAGCAGCCAGAGCCAAAGCCTACTACGCGTCCCATGATCAAAACCCGGCTCCTGCTAAACCCACCACTGTGAGAATGCCTCCTACGCCTGCCTACAAAGGAGGCATAGATTAGTATCCGCCACTCAAGAGATATCTTTTTAGCGTTACGTAGGAGGTCGGTCGGGTGGATAGAATCCCACCCTAAAACCGATTTCTGTTATTACTGCATTAAGGATGGAACGGGGCGGGTTTGAATACGGTTTTGTATATTCTGTACCATACCCGCCTTCCTGAACCTCCAACTCGTATCCGTCCAAAACGCGTAACGGGTTGGATTATAAGAATCTAAATTCTCTTTGTACATGAAAATAAAAACCCTTTCCGATCCTACATTCAAGGGTAGGGGGTTAATTGGGTTTAAAACCGCATCTAATTTTTTATTATTTCTTATCATATATAAATAATAAATAAGAAAACAATACAAATAAATATCAAGATTTTTAATTATTTGATTAAGACATATAAAAAACACAAACTATCAAGTATCATTTCTATAAAATTCAAAATATTATTAAATTCAACGTCTAGTTCATAAAATTTATATACTTAACATATGCGGATCAGAGAGGGCCGGGTTTAGCTTAATACCATACCCCTACCCATATGCGTACGGATTATAGAAATTGTCATCCCTAAGTGCATAGTGATACTATAGATTGTAATATATAGATACTAGTTGGTATTACTATTAGGGGTGAGCATGGGTCGGTTCAGTTTGGTTCCATGGCAAAACTTGGAACCTACCCTGTAGGGGTCGGTTATAAGTTTTTGAAACCAGAACCTACCCTGTGAAGATCGGTTCTAGGGTCAATTCTAAGGTCTACCCATGGAACATGCTATTTCTTTACTCTCCCCTTTCAAGAAAAAAAAAGAAACATGTCATTCAAAAACTTGATTTTCAATAATGATAATATATAGTTTAAAACTTATATTATCTTTATTGAATAAAATGAGTAATTTAATATGTAGATTATCATAATATTTTAATATATGGTTGAAAGTTTGTCATTATAATTTAAATTTTGTAAATGTTACATTTTACATTATTTATTATATACATGCAAATATTAAAACGAAAACAAATGACCAAATCACTTAAATAACTTAATGGTCAAGTGAGATCATGGCTTTTATAACCACAAGTGCTTGGACTCAAATCTTCACATCCTTAAAAATATTTTGGGATTTATTTCAAAAAAAGTTTGGCTCCAAGGTCGATTCCACCAAGACCAATCAAGGTCGATTCCTTGAGTCGGTTCAGATAGGGTAAACCCCTAGACCCTGGAACCGACTTGGATGGGTTTGGTTCCAAGAATTCTGAACCAGATAATCCAAACCCTACCTTATAACAAATCAAGTAGGATCTATTCAAGATCAGATCTATTCAGTTCTGAGTAGAACCTACCCATTTGCTCACTTCTAATTACTAGTATAAATAAAGTAGCACAAGCTGAACCTCAATGGTCTGTATCACTTATCACTTCACTGCCTCTTATAATTTATCTCTTAAACTTGTTGGAGAGACCCCAATCTGAAAAACGGCCAAAAACGACATAGAGGTGTTTTTGATAACCCCTTTTTTCATATATTAAAAAATAAAAACATTAAAAATGCATAGTTTTAAGTATCGATACATCTCTCCCGATCGATACTTTAAACCATAATTTTAATAGTTTCATAAAAGCTATGTTTGGTTTGAGGGAAAAGGTAGGGGAAGGAAAAAAAATATAAGGAAACCTTTACAAACCTTGTATAGGTTTCCCGTCTTTATCTCCCTTTTCCTAAATTTTCCTTTAAATCAAACATAACCAAAAGGAAAAACCCTTACCACCATGGAGTAAAGCTTCTAATAAATAAGATTGTCAATGAATTGGGTATGCTATGAGACGGTCTGTGCCAGTCATTAGTTAATGGGGACAAAACCAGATATAGACCATCTCAATTAATAATCAGAATAATTGGATCTGACGCAATAGACCCGATTATACTCAGGAGTACAACTTGAGTGGGATCGGATTGAACTTTTATCAAAATTTGTATGGACTCAGCATGAATACCCGAACCCAAAGCAATATAAAATGCAAAGTCAGGTCAACCCAAGCTGCACCCCTGATAATACTGGCATATATAACTTTTTTATGTAAATGTAAATAATAATTTAAAACATGATTTTTGATAATAACCTTAATAAAACTGAGGACAAAATAGTATATTACTTACATTTAATAAATCATGTACTTTTAACCAAAATTATCATATGTATTATCCATCAAATTTACCGTTTTAAACAAAATATAATAAAACCCACAACTAAAATCAATTCACAACAACCAATAATTAAAACCAACGTAATCGGTTTGGTTCAATCCGTAAAACCGACACATTGACAGCCCTACTAATAAGTACTACAACTTCCCCTCACTTCTCCTGTTCTCCACCCTGATTCTTAAACATTCCTTTTCAAATAATTCCGCACTTATTATTCACGGAAATGAGAGAAACATCAAGAATTCACCTCCATATATATATATATATATATATATATAAAAGTTAATAAATTTTCTTATTTTTTGAATTTTTATTCTATATTATTTTTTAAATAATTAATGAGATGCACTTTTTCAATAACCTAAATGGATTTACATCCGCACGCCCACTTCGCCCAAAAAGTCATCCCCTCTCAAACTCTCACTCCTCTCTCTTGAATTTCAACCTCACTTGAACCTTCGACCTTTCATTCTCAGAATGCCCCCCTACGAGTTCCACGGGTCAACGCCAACGATCGTTCCGGCAGATTTATACATCGGAGGTAAGTTTCTCTCTTTATTCTCAGTTCTCATATCTGTTTTTTCTCATTTTTTACGTTGTTTTTTGTTTTTTGTTTTTTCTAATTTTCTACCTTCCGTTCTCAGATCTGAAACCCGCCGGAGCTTGCCCCCTTTGAGTTCTGCCAGGAGCAGCCTTTGCAACGAGTTAACCAAAGTCTTACCCAGCAAGGTCTTTGGCCTTTGCAGCAGCAACAAGTGCTGAAGCTGTATTGGGTGTAAGAGGGAGGGACAGGTGCGGACTATGGACTATCCTGGGATACAGGTTGCTGTTGAAGTTGCAAGAATGTTAATTCAAACATTCTGAGGATTAAAAAGTGTCAAAGATGAGGTTAATCGGAGCAGATGAACCTGCACGTCAATGAATAAGTGTCAAATATGACTGCATATACAAACACAGATATGAAAATTGAGAATAAATAGATACGAGAACGAAGCTTACCTCCGGTAAATAAATCTGTCGGAATGATCATTGGCGTCGACCAGCAGAACTCGAAGGGGGCAAGATCCGGCGGGTTTCAGTTCCGAGAATGGAAGGTCGAAGGTTCAAGTGAGGGGGATGACCTTTGGGCGAAGTGGGTTAGCTCCGCACGAGAGGGTCTAATTCGCGTGTGGGAGGACACGTGGCGCGCTGTGACTCCGTGGGATGTTTTTGAGAGGCAAACCTGGGGATGCATACCCAACCTAAATAATCTCTTCTCCTAAAATTACTCATAAAGTACCTCCCCTCATTCTCCAAAATTATCTCTAATTCCTATTTATCTTCTAAATTATCAATAATTCCTATTTATCTTCAAAATTATCTCTAATTCCTATTTATCATCTCCCCTACTTTTTATCTATATCTATCTAAAGAAAGTTTGGATCAAAAAAATTTAAGAATTATTTAAATATTCTAACAAAATTGTATAATAACGTTTAAACTATTTATTAAAAACACAAAAAATAATTTTATATTTTTACAAAATATAGCACCAAATTATGTACTAAAAATTTAAGTTATATTTTTCCAGATTATCAATTTAAATAAGAAAATACTTATCATAACTAGATTTTAAATAGTTAAAATAATGAAATTATGTAATAAATTTAAAAAAATTCTTTAAAGTAGAAAATTAATTATAACATAACATTGAAATTAATAATAATTTAGTATATTGCAAAATTAATAATAAAATCATGTAATAATAGTATAAATTATGATTTTATGGATAATTAAATTCAATAAATAATTAATATTTTAAAATTTAAATATTTTACACATTATTAAAGTATTTAAATAACTAAAAATTTTAAATAATAAAATATTTAACATAACTAGATTTTAAATAGCTAAAATAAATAAATTATGTAATAAATTAAAAAAAATATAAGAAAAATAATTATAACATAAGATTGAAGTTAATAATAATTTAATTTTTTTATAAATATTATAAATAATTAATTTCACTTATACCAAGTAATAATTTGAGAAAATAACTTTCGAAAAAAATAATATTTATTAATAATAATTTTAAACTCTTAATCTGTATTTATTATATAATTATATAAACTAAAATTAATATTTATTATCTTTTGTGATAAATGTATTTTCAATGATTATGTATAAATTTATTTTGTTTTGTTATTTAACAAAAAAACTTTCAATAATTATTGGAGATTAAATTACTATTATTGAAATTTTTAAATTTAATATATTATACTTATTATATTTATTGTATTTTTGTTATAAGTTATTGATTAATATTTATTAGAGATTAAACTATTATTTGAGATTATACTATTTATTGACTAAGTTAATATATTTTTAGTACATATTGTATTTTTGTAATTTCTGTAATTATTGTATTTTTCATTATCAACATATTTTCAATAATTGTGTATTTTTGCTATAAATTTTCAATAATTATTGGAGATTAAACTATTGTTATTTATTAGAGATAAGACTATTAATTTAGCTGACATTATGAGTGTTAATGAGTTGGTTCAGTTCAGTTATAGGCTATTTGGCCATCCAAATTGACTTGTCAGGTTAGGGAGTTGGTCAGCTGAAACCAGCTAACCTTTTTGTGAAAACCGACCCACTTAAGTTGTATCGGTTTGGGTTGATTTTTTTTGTTTGGTCAATTTGTTCAAAAGATTTAAACTTAAAATTTTAATTTAATTTTAAAAGTTACAGTGCAATTATTAAAAAATAAATTTAAAAATTAGATCTATGATATAAAATATGGGAAAATTCTCACTTTTCCATATTAAAAATTATATTTAAAATATAAAATAT